GAAAAACCTGCCAATAGGTTTTTAGCATTCTACCGGTAAGTTTTGGCTACTAGAGTTTGACCTGCCGGTAGGTTGCCTGCTCTGGACCAATTTTTATAGAATTGTCATAACTTTTGATCCAACAGTCTGATTATGCTGAAATTTTTGACAAATTATAGAGGACATCCAGATCTACAACTTTCATGTTTTGAACTTCTTCATATTCAAAGTGAATCATGGTCAACAAGGAGGAAACCTGAGGTACTGCAACCAAATGGTGCCGGTGCTAGTGCCTATGTTACCAAGCACCTATGTTACCAAGCCTCCAAATCCTCAAGTAATGTGTCCACATCTTCACCACACATCCACATTTAGTTGCAATGTTCTAAAATCCATCATTTAAGCTATAATTACCTGCTACCACAAGATTTCAACATTATTCACAAACTCGACTAACTCTAAGTAATTAAATATAAAGTTAAGTTAAAATGCATGTAATGAGGCCATTAAATATGCAAATATTATGTGTTCATCAAACAACACGAACAAAAACAAAACAACTCACTAGACGGTCTTCACGATCTTCTACCGCATATCCTTCAACGAAAAACATCCTATGGTCCATTAATAATAAGTTAGTCCACTAAAAAAAATTTATTAATCTCTCAGGCCTATTTCAAAATTATATTTCAAGCTCCTCGTTATTATATATGTAATAATATCCCCATATTTAAAATAACAAATGTCTTTCAATTAATTAAATTACTGACAATTATATTTAATAGAATTATTTTTATACTTAAGATCTTACCACTCAACTTATTTGTCATGCCAGATATTTGAATTTACCTGTATGGTTTGACATGGACAAAACTAATAAGCTTCCTTAAGAGGACATCATCAATTCATTTAAATATCGAGACGTTGTTTCTTTTAATAATTAATTTATACCATACAAATAATTTCATCTCCTAATTCACTTATTTTATTGACTCAAATATGAATTTCACTCTATGATGAATTAAAGTAATAATCATTATATGCACGTGTCCATTAAATATCTTAGATAAGAGCTTAAGCAATCATAATAACCATGAGGTATTTATTTATTTTATTGAGTTCATAAAACGGTAATTACCTCAATAAAAATCATATTCAATACACAAAGTGTACTAGTACAACAATCCAAGACATTAGACAATCTCCTATAGTCAAGATAGACTATGCCAAAAGATTTTATCACAATCCTACTAATGGTATGTCCAAATCCATCTAATATTGTGAACTTTTACTCATATCATATAAAGATCTGATAATATGATCTTCTGTGTATAAGTCAAACTCTACACACTAGTTTATGTAAAATGTAAAATAAAAGACACATACATAGCATATATTTAATATAATGCAAATATTTTACCCACATAGATTCTCATAGAAAATAAAGAACTTTTATTAAATAATAAACCGAGTTTCACTATAAAAATTAAGTTTTTAATATATTACTCTGTCAATATGTTTGCATGGATCATAAGTAGTCTATTAAGATGATTGATTGCCAGTGTAGTGTTGTACAAGATATTTCTGAACTTTTTTTTATATTACTATTTTTCTTAAATGTTACTATTTCACATGAAATGACAATGTTCCTTATATATGTATTAAATGCTCATTTTTCTTTTGCCCAATCATCTTAAATTATGTATTTTAAAACTCCCATGCCTGTCATTGAGTTACTCTACTGAGCTGTTGATGTTAACCCTATATTATTTCTCCTTTTTTTCAGATTAGTAGGTGGCGAGGAAGTCCACAAATATTCAAACTGTTGATTTTTCTTGGTTTTTATCTAAATGTTGAACAGTGTTGTTGAGGCATGTAAATTGAAATAAGTTTCACATACATGTATGAAATGTAATAAGTCATGACAAAGTTGTATGATAGTCGTGTATAGTATTTTTATCTATGTGAGCTTAATAACAAAAGCTCGTTATATATATGGAATTGGATCAGAGTGTTGACAATATTGGAGTACTACTCTCCATGAAAAAGAAGCACTACGAGATGATGTATGACTATGATCATCGTTACTTGGAAACGATAAATAAAATAGAAAGTTACTACCCAAAAATTGCAATAGCCTCGTTCAAGATAGGCTTGCCAAAGGAGAACCTGTTGTATCAATCACTAACAAGGCGACCAGCCCTTGATGTGGAAGAATTGATGGCAAGAGTTGAAAAATATGTAAAGTTAGATGATGAGCCAAGTAGAGATGTTGGACGGGACTAGCCAAACTAGAAACGAAATGGAAGAGATAGGCCTAACAATCAGTCATGTTCAACAACAAAAGGAAAGGAAACGGAAGGTTTCCCTCCCGTTCATTGTTCGGTGGAGTAAACACTGTGTTCATAGAGCCCATATACAGAATCTAATCTCAAATCAAAGGAAAGCCTTATTTCAAATGGTGAGCAAGTTAGGCGGCGACCACGAGAAAAGGAACCATCGCGACACCAGACAAATGGCATAAAATTGTTGCTCCCTAAAGCAACACTTAGAGGAACTAGTGCAGGCCGCCCACATACTTAGAGAAAACCAAGGCTGAGGTTGGAGGAAAGAGGGAAGCAACACGAGTTGGGAAGCAAGAGGTCGATCAATTGGATGGATTGATCATCTTCTCTGGTGGTGACTTGGTTGGAATCCATTATCCACACAACACTACTCTAGTTTTAACTGTGTGAATAAAAAAAATTGACAAGAGAATCCTGATTGACTAGGGAAGTTAGAAAATCATGTACTCTAGTTTTTTTGTCAAGCTCAACTTCAAGGAAGAGGACCCGAAGTTGGTTAGTGTGCCACTAATGCGTTTCAGATGAAAAATAGTATTGCCAAATGGAAAAATAGCCCTGTTAGTTTGAGTAGGATCAATTAAAATAATGACAGAGTATTTAGTGGTTGAAGTAGACTCAACGTACAATGCCATTATAGGGTGTACTTGTCTGCATGAGATGAAGGTAGTTCCCTCGACCAACCACCAAATCTTAAGGTTTCCGTTAGAATGAGGGGTGGTTGACATTTGAAAGTACTAGGTAAGTACGAGGAGCTATTTGTTTGCTCCTTCAGAGTTACTATTTGTCTAGATTCACAAAACCAGAATCAAGGTGGGTTTTGCAATATTATCTTCAAATTCATGTGTTTAAATGCAATTGCAAGAAATTTGAGTCTTTTGAGATTCCATACTCTCACATGATCGTGGTCATAAAGTAGGAGCACATACAAGAGTTTCCTTATACCATTGTGATAAATAGGTGAACCATTAAAGAAAAATTCAGATATCAATGTACACCTGAATGTGTTAATGTGCGGCTGAATGTGTTATTACACTTCATAGTTGCTCTCAAATTCAAATGACTTGAGGAATATGGTGCAACAAAGAAATTCCCTTCTAAAAGGCCGTCACGAGTCACTTGGCAAACAAGATGCAGATGTGACAAATACACAATTTAGTGTGAATGATCCAAAGATTGTGACAACCAAGGGAAATCCAGGTCATGCATGTAAGAATATTCTAATCTACCCACGAAGATATAGTAAATGCAGAGGCATTGGGCATGTTATTAGAAAATGTCCACTCTTGATGTCTCAATCCAATGATCAATTTGAGGTCATGCCTTTTTCACACCCAATTGGATCATAGCCACCACGGGATATGTGTTTTTCACAGCTTAGTGGATCACAACAACCTACCTTTTTCATAGCATGGTGGATCGCAACAAACTATGCCAACATGTGAAGAGGATGACCGTTGGACTCCCTTTGTCAATGAGGGTATCCTTAACTATTAGGTTCATTTTATACTCTTTGGATCTTCATATTTTTTTTCCTATGAACTCATTCCTTAATTCCTTGTTATTTTAGGATGGGATGTTAAGTTTTGATTCTACCATTCAATTACAGTACATCAATACTAGTTTCAGTAATATAGAGGTAATTACAAAAAATTACAAATTTTATCTTAAAAATTATATTTTTTCACCATTGTCATCTAATCATCAATTTATGCTATCATAGTAGGCATTAAGATCATTGATCAAAATGGGTTGATGAAATTTTCTTTTTTTTGCAACTTTGAATGAAAATGTTTTACATTCTCCATTCCAAGCTTTTTTCCCCTGTATGCCTAACTTGACCTTTATTGGAAGCAAAAAAAAAAAATTGAATACCAGAATATGTTCATCACAACCACTACCAAGCACATTTTATATATAAAGAACAAAGATACGTTAGATTTTTGACAAAAACATATCATATTGCATTAATTTGTTTCATCACATTTCACTAGTGTTGGTTCAACTATTATATCAAAAACCAACAACTACAACTACATATAATTGTCACTTCCTTGCTATTTCTTTGATTTTCATAAAATAAGACTCAATTCTATTCATCCTAGTATCAATCACCTTCAGAGACTCCTTCATGTCATTTTGAGTCTTTTGAAATTGCTCCATCTTTTCGAGCATTTGTAAAAACATTTGTCCAACCATAATCAATGGAGGAACACAACTCAAGAAAGAACTTGGGTCATTCTCAGCTTCAATTTCATCCTCGGCTTCAACTTGATCCTCGATTTCAACTTGTGGCTACTGAGTTTTCTTCTTCTTACCTTACCCCAAAACTATTTTATCATCCCACCATAAATCGGATTCATAGGAGAGGAATACTTGTTGCTTGACTGAATCACAACTTCACATTCCTCCATAATCTTTTAAATCAAAATTGGGAATGAGAGACTTCACCGCTTATCCTTGACATTACGTGTCAAAATAATTTCATCAACAATTAAACATGGTAGATCAATAAATATACCCTTTTCAATGGCATATGTCCTCTCGGCATAATATTGCACCCCACTATACGATTTAATATCCCATATTTAAGAGCAAGGTCTTACTGATAAATAACTGGATTGTCAACTCTCTCATCAAAACTATTAGGTGTACCCTCAATTTCTACATAAGAATATTTCAACTAAGGTTTGTCCTAAAAATTCTTGTATGGATAGTTAAGTTTATCCTTAGTAATGAAGGGTCGGCAACTTCCAATATTTTTGCAACTAAATTCGGGGTTAGTTCAAATCTTACATTCCTAACAAGAGACTTAAACTTGTCATCATCTTTCTTAATATCATGCATATTTGCATAAAATATCTTTACCAATGTATCATATGCTTTATCCGTCTTCTTGATATCAACTATAAAATTCCATTGATGAAGAGCAAAAATGACATCACACCCCATATCTTTTAATTGATCCAATAAAGCACCCTTCTCCAATAACAAAGGCCTATGATAAAAGTACTTATCATTCAAATCTTTGTAATTTGTGTTGAAGAAAGATATGTCTGGAGTGAATATTGGGTCCGATGAAGTTGCTAGATTGGATATGGGGTTGGATGAATTTTCTGCATTAGAGGAGGGATCAATAGAGGGGGGATCAACTGAATTGCAGGCTTGTTTCTTCTTTCTCATCATTTTTTCTCTGTTGTTATTGACATGTGGCCTATACTTCTTTTTCCCACGTCCGAATATTTTGAATATACTGTTATCCACAAATGTTATTTGGTCTAGCTACAACAAGAAAAAAATCTAGTAAAAAGAGAGCAATAACTATATGCATGGCAGATTATCTATTACTTTTGACTAATAACAATTGAAGCAGATGTGTTCAACCCAAGAAACACATCCCTTATACAACTGCACAAAAATATGATGAAATTGAAAGAGAGAGAGAGAGAGATAGAGATAGAGAGAGGAAAGGGATACCTCTGAGAAGAGGAAGGCAGTGGCAGTGGTGGTTGCTCTGGCGGTGGCGGTGGTTGTGGCACGATTTTGCTAGCTGAGAGAGAGATTACGTTCTTTGAATTCGATTTGAGTCCTTGTTAAGGTTTTGATTATGGATGATTAGGGGTTCTTCGATTTGGATTCTTCATTAGGGTTTTGGGTATGAAGAATTTGGAGTTTGTTGAATTAGATTTGGTTCTTTGAGTTGTGGACTGGTTGATTGGGTGAGGGTTTGAGTTGGATTTATATGAATTGAGATTTTTCAAGTAAGGGTTTGGTTTGGGTTTGGGGTAAGTGTTTGGATTGTTGATAATTATTATTTTAAAAAAATGAGAGGATTGCTAGCTTGACCGGTCCTTATTCGAATTGTAGTGATCAAGGATCGGTCATAAATTTCTCTTATACCCTTAAACAATCACCCTTTTTTAATTTGCCCCCTCAACTACCAGATTCTTCATATTACACCCTCAACTAATATCCAATTTTTTTTACCTTATTTAATTTAACTCCCAAATGTGATAACTTTTCCCAAAAGGTAGTGAACTTATCCCAAACGTTGTATTTTAATCTAAAACAGTGGTTCCTTATCCCAAAAAAAGTAACTTCCCACCCAATAATGGTAACTTAACACAAAAAAAGATGGTTAACTTATGCCTAATTTTTCCTAAAACAGTGGTGAACTTACCAAAAAAAATGCTAACCTGTCGTAATAATTTTAACTTAACCTAAAAAATGGTATATTTAATGTCACTCAATAACCGCAAATATTATAAGTTTTTCCTTATATTTTGATTTCATATCCAGGTTTAAATAAGACAACACTACTTTTGTAAAAGCGATATTGAAGTGAACTCCAAAACCTTCACCCTTTGTACTATAATGCCACGGAAACAGGTTACTGAACAGATATGTACTTATAAAAACATGCCTGCCTGTTTGGATGCAGACTATATATACGGATCTTTTAGCTGACATTTCAAACTTGGTACTTGTAAAAGGCAAAAAACTAATTGTACCTCATGCAAGGAATTTGATGTGACCTTTCTAGTAAGGAATATCCGTGAACTTGATCTCTCAATCTTCGTGTTCTGCAAAATGAACAAACTGCCCAAGATCGAAGTGCTTCGATCGAAGGCACTCCGATGCTTAAGTTAGTATTCGAATAGAAACGCTTGCTAGAAGACAAGGAGAGTTCAGCGTACCTTTCACCTTGGCTCCCTTTACTTTTTTATAGTCCCTATTCAGTTAGGGTTTCCATGAATTTTGATTCAAGGTGGCACACCTTCCTTAATTTCAGCAAATTTAGTTTGGGAAGTTACTGATATTTCTCCAACAATTCCTCCTGATATATGTAGTTTCGTTGATTCACTCATTCAAAAATGCCTAAGTTATAGGAGAGTCTTTATCTTTCATCATACTATTAAAAATGGCTTAGTCATTACAAGTACCGAACTCCTTATTTGTTTGTTGAGCATACCAATCAGCTCGGCTTAGTAAGGGCTGAACTCTTGATAAGAACCAAACCTTTTAATCAACTTGGTCATAATGTAAGCCGAACTCTTCCTTTCTCTGTCTAACCTATTGATTAGTTCAACTTGATTTATAAGGCTGAGTGAATGATTTCTTCGTCACGTGACCTGTCTTGTCAACCTCACGTGGGTTCATTTAATGTCATAACACGTGTAATAATGGGGGCCAACCCCTTCATTTTCCCCCAAAAAACGTCTGACAAACGTCTTTCGTCTGTCAGCCATCATTTTGCCTTTTCATCATCATAGCGACTACCTGTGTCATTCCCCCTGATATTGGCGGCACATTTGGCATTTAAATATTTGCCTTTTAGAATTCTTCCCTTTTTAAACGATTTCTCTTCGTATCTTTCTCTACCTTGCCTTCTTGCCTCCAAACCCATCTCTATATCCTCTCTATCTCTGCCCTTCATCTTCTTCAATGGCCCCTCTCACACCCTCTAAAATTCCTGCTTTCAAAATTAAATACAACATGCTAGAGGACGTTGAGGTAAAGGCAGCTGAAAAAGATGAGCCTCTGATTGGAACCAGAGAGAGGATTCCAGTTTATACTCAAGTGATCACCGAAGGCAGTGTGCACTTCCCACTTGACCCATTGCTCCTTTGGGTGCTATCAACCATGAAGTTATNAAAATTTTTCTAAGTCTTCTACTTTTTCTTTTTAAGGGTCTGCAAAAAGTTCACGAGGTTGGGGCTAGGATAGCCAGAAAAGATAAGGTTATAAAGGATGTTATCCACGCTCGAGCTTCTGCCTTGGCAAAGAGAAGGAGTCAATGGATGACGAATATTCCAAGCTCTGTGAGGAAGTTTCAGCTTTCCAGGCTCACAATCATAGCCTGAAAGAGGAGAACATGAGGCTTTCTTCTGAAATTAAAAAATTGAAGGAATCTGATGATGCCAATATAGAGCTTTCCCAGTCTCAACTTGACTATACCGNTCAGAATAATGATGGGCGTGACAGCTTTAAATAAGCTTCTAAACATGAGTTTAGGACTGTGGGAGATTTTATACTGTTACATCCTCAAACCGGCTGGGGATAACTATTACCTTGCGGTGAGGAAGAAGGAGCACTACCTGGTGACTTATCTCCCAGATTCCAATAAGGGTCGTGAGAACGATATTGTGTTCATTTCTGGAAATTGGGAGTATGATGCTGGTGCTATGACATCCTACCATTGTCCTTATGAAGAAGGCGTTGCAGGTGTTTGAATTTTTAACCCTTCTCCTTTTTAATATGCTTACTGCTTTCTGATACGAGTTTTCTTTTGCTTGAAGGAGAGACTGTAAAGGGTAGAGTCCCTGAGTCATCTGTGAAAATGGATCAACTTCGAGAAGTCTGGAATTACAACAAATCCCTATTCTGCCAAGCTGCACATACACTGTTAGGGTACATACTGATCTACACGTAGTTCATTGTTGTACCGAACAGACCCAACACCTCACTGACCGCGGATCGGGAGGCGATCTAGTCTGCTCGGGAACAAACTCCCCACGCCAGGAAGAAGTCTTCCCTTGCTGCCTCTAGACGCAGAACGATGAGGAACTTTTTGGATTTTTTATCAACTGTTGACTCGACTCCCTTCGCCAAGTCTGTTCCACCCATTTTAGTGCTATCAATCACTGTTCTAAATGAGCCTGCTGTCAAAGTCCCTGCCGAGATCGTCCTCCCAAACGATGCTGACGCGCCAATCAATGACCAGGCAAATAAGGCTCAGATTGTTGAAACTTCAGTCCCATCAGAATTGGACCCCCTTGATCTTGTTCATTCCCCCATTCCTGAAGACGACTCAATCTTTGAACTTGTCGAGGATCCTACCCCAAAAAGGTGAAGGACAACTGAGTCTGAGGCGAGCCTTTCTCCTGAATCCGCCAATCCTCCTTTCCGACCAGTCCTTAGGGCAAAAAAGAGGGAAATCACTACTAAAAACTCTACAATAGAAGATTTAACGTTGCTGTGGGGATTGATCGAGGGGTGATCTTGCCTTGGGACTTGGCAATAAATGAGGCTCTGACTGACAATGAAGTGTCTCGTCAAGCCATTCAACATATGGTCCTGGTAATATTTTCTCCCTTTAATCTTCTTTCTTCTTATCAAAAATTTTTTCAAGTAAAATTTTTCTAAGTCTTCTACTTTTTCTTTTTAAGGGTCTGCAAAAAGTTCACGAGGTTGGGGCTAGGATAGCCAGAAAAGATAAGGTTATAAAGGATGTTATCCACGCTCGAGCTTCTGCCTTGGCAAAGAGAAGGAGTCAATGGATGACGAATATTCCAAGCTCTGTAAGGAATTTTCAGCTTTCCAGGCTCACAATCATAGCCTGAAAGAGGAGAACATGAGGCTTTCTTCTGAAATTAAAAAATTGAAGGAATCTGATGATGCCAATATAGAGCTTTCCCAGTCTCAACTTGACTATACCAGTCTCCTTGAGGAATTTTATCTATAAAAATCTGAAGCAAAGGAAAAAGAAGATGATGCATATGAGGAAGGCATGGAGAAGGCGGAGAACGATCTAGCTCAGCAGATTCTGTCTTTGGAGAAAGCTTTTTTCAGTAAGGGNGGTCTCCTTAAGGAATTTTATCTATAAAAATCTGAAGCAAAGGAAAAAGAAGATGATGCATATGAGGAAGGCATGGAGAAGGTGGAGAACGATCTAGCTCAGCAGATTCTGTCTTTGGAGAAAGCTTTTTTCAGTAAGGGTTGGCATACCGCATTGATAGCTGCTGATATGCCCTCATCTTCTGAGCTCTTCTCGCGGCATTCCCTTCCTAGCTCTTTCCAGCCTCCTGCTTCCTGAAATACTTTAGGAGATTTTCTTTTTTACTACTTCTAATGNTTGTACCGAACAGACCCAACACCTCACTGACCGCGGATCGGGAGGCGATCTAGTCTGCTCGGGAACAAACTCCCCACGCCAGGAAGAAGTCTTCCCTTGCTGCCTCTAGACGCAGAACGATGAGGAACTTTTTGGATTTTTTATCAACTGTTGACTCGACTCCCTTCGCCAAGTCTGTTCCACCCATTTTAGTGCTATCAATCACTGTTCTAAATGAGCCTGCTGTCAAAGTCCCTGCCAAGACCGTCCTCCCAAACGATGCTGACGCGCCAATCAATGACCAGGCAAATAAGGCTCAGATTGTTGAAACTTCAGTCCCATCAGAATTGGACCCCCTTGATCTTGTTCATTCCCCCATTCCTGAAGACGACTCAATCTTTGAACTTGTCGAGGATCCTACCCCAAAAAGGTGAAGGACAACTGAGTC